ATAACTCTTTTCATTTGAATAAAATTTTGGGATGTTACAAATAGAGTTAAAGTGTACAAAATACATCAAATGCTGCTACACCAAGTAGCTACAACAACAAAACATCCTAAAAGATCAGCTCTGTCTGCCAGCTACAGACTCACCACCAGCCACCAACCTATCCCTGCTCTGCTCCCATACATCCCAACCACCATGGAAACAACAAAGGGTAAGCTAGTGATAAGAAATCAACATACATTTATAACAATATGAATGTATACAACTACAGCTATCAGCACATCAACCAGCTTATACTACACCACAACATTCAACAATATCAGCACCGCAAAGCGGCAACATCAGCACTGCGTAGCAACAAAAACAGCACCACTCAAGTGACTATAACAGCACCGCATAGCGACAATAACAACACCGACTTAGCGACTATAACAGCACCACAATAGTGGCTAATAACAGCACCGACATAGCGGCTAGAACAGCACCACAATAGTGGCTAATAAACAACATACAACTCATCTAACACAGCTCATAACACATAACAACAAATCAGCATGCAACATAGCTAAGTAGTATTCAACACAGCTTACTACTCATAATTCAGCTCATCATTCTATAGTACAGCAATATCATAAGTCAGCATTGAAAATCATCAATAACAACTCAGTTCAGCACGACAATATACATCTATTACAACTTAACATCATTTTTCAACATTATCATCTAGTCATCATAGCATATTCATCAATTACAGCTTAGTTCAGCATCAAACAGCATCTATCAGCAATTTCAGCATATACTTCAACAACTAAGAGCATACAAGTCAACATCATCATACGCGCCCGGCGCACTCATGGTCGCGCCCAGTGCGGCTCAACCAGAGAGAACCAGGGGCCAGTGCGCCCGGCGCAAGAATGCCTGCGCCCGGCGTGACCCAGCCAGAGAGCCCAACGCATGCCCAAGGTCTCGCGCCCAGTGCAATTTGAATTGCGCCCGGCGCCCCCATGGCAGAGACTCCCAAGGAGCCTCCGCGCCCGGCGAGACCAAAATCGCGCCCAGCGCAGCATCAGAAACCCCAAAACATGTCACAATTGATATCGCGCCCGGCGCGGTCCCCATCACGCCCGGCGTGGGCCATCTAGAGGCTCTCTTTCTCAAGCTCGCCTGGCGCACACACCTTTGCGCCCAGCGGGCTTGCCTAAAAAGAGCCTCCAGGTGGTCTTGCGCCCGGCGCGAAGAACTGCGCCCAGCGCTAAGCTCAGCAGCAACTCACCAAGTTCGAAAATTTGCCCAAGACCTGCAAAAATCCACTCATCCAACACATGCAATCCATTCAAAAGTTCACATTTTCAACCAAGAGTTCAAAAATATAATCTTTTCACACATGCAATCATCAAACAAGAAAAACCCAAATTTTTCCTCCAACACCCCGAAAACCCCGAAACCATATTTTCACCAAAATTGTCCATCAATCTAAGCCAACACCAATAGCTAATGAGCTTTTAGAACTCATTTTCATCCAAAAACAGCGAAAAACCTAGCTTCCCTTACCTCGGTACGAAAAATCCGAGCTTCTGGGAAAAGAGACGAGTTAGAACGGGGAAGAACGACAAAGAGCTTGAACAACCGAAAGAGGAGAAAAGAAGACTCCGAACCCTCAGCTAGCAATCCACAACTACTCTGTATCACCACCTTGAGTCCAAGAATTGAAAGCAAATCAGCAAAGTGAGGATTTTGAGAGTGAAATGAGAAAGAGGAAGAGTATAAGTGAAAATGAGGGAGAGAAAGGGAAACGAAAAGGAATAGAGTCTCACAATATGTTTTTAATTTTTTTTTTAAATTTAGACTTAATCTATACTTCAAAATTTGAAGTAAAATATAAATTATTAAATAAAATAAGTATATTAAAACTTATTCTTAAAATAAATAAATCTTTTCTTCTCTCTCCTTATATATGAGGCTTCGAATCTATGTATGTTATCGTGTATCTATCAGCATCGTTATATATGATCAGTATGATCAATATGATCATTAATACCTTGTTTCCCTTTTATTTTTATCAACATTAATAAACCTTGTCGTACTGATCAGGAGTTAAAATTTGAGGCAGATGTAGGACCTTTTTCCATTAAAATGGTTGGTAATCTATAATAAATGTGTTACCATTAATTTCATGCCCTCATCACTCGCCCACATGAACCTCCATACCTTACTCTTATTTATGTCCACCTAAATCACCGAACACACTCATGTCCTTTTTTTCTCTTTTAAATCCCAAGATTTTACTCACATCACTACCATTAGGTACCATTCTTCCACACAAATTTCAATCAAGCCACATTCCTTGCAAAAATCCAAATAATGTTTTTTTTTTTTTTTACAAACACGTTTTGGTTAGCACAAGAAAAGAAACCTTGAATATATATAACATATTCTGCTTTCTTTCTGTTTGATAGCATTATATGGAATATATAGCTAACTAAATCTATATTGATAGATTTTTTCATAAGAAAATTTGTTTACATGTATTTATTTTTGGCTTTCTTGAGTGTCTATTACTTCTAGGAATAGGTAACATTTAAAAGTATTCCTATAAATATTTATGAGTAATCAAATAAATCTTTATAATTTTTAAAAATCGTATTTTTCAAACATAAATTTTTTTATATGGTATATCAAACATTTGTAACGCATAATATACAAAATTTGTCTACCATAATAAGTAATTAATTTCTATCTTAATATAGAGGGACGAGATTTTAGTCTTACTAGGAACGTTGTTTTCATTTTGGTGTGGGCTCCAATTATGAGTCATCTAATCTAATTTTTATAATATTGCTACCCACAGACCAGTAGACCACAGTCAAATTCCCTTTTTAATTGTCATTATAAAAATTAATTCCTCCTATAATCACTTTTAATCTGCTTTGAATGAAATTAAATTTTTAAATAGTAAATGCCTTTGACTTTTTCCTTGTTTTAACTGCTGTCTTAACTCTTAAATCATTAAAAAGATATTAAAATTATCAAAGAATATTACCTCTCTCCCTTTATAATAGTCATTTAATATTATTTTAGATCTCTCAAACATTGCAATTGTGTAATTTTAATTTTTAATGTTTTAATTGAATAATTTTAATCTTTAAAAATTATAATTTTGCAATTTTAGTTCCTTGATTTTTAATTGAATAATTTTAGTCCTTTAAATATTATAAGTGTACAATTTTAATCTTTTTTATTAAAAATTCATTAATTTTAAAATTTTAATATATATATATAATATTTTAAAATTATATAATTGTTTGCTTATTTAAGTTAACGTATTATTAAATAAATAAAAATTTATATATTATTAATATTTTAATATTATTGATAAATTAATATCAACAATATTTTTAGTATATTTATAGATAAACTAATAATTTGGTAAACATAACTTAGTATATATTAATTTAATTTTACAAAAATATAAATATATTAAATAAGATATGTATATTTCTTATTAATATACTTACATTTTTGTAAAAGTATATTAATATAGAATAAATTATATTAATCAAATTATTAGTTTATCTATAAATATACTAATAATATTATTGATATTAATTTATCAGTAATATTATAAAAATAATAATACATAAATTTTATTTATTTAGTAATAATAAATATATATATTATTTGATCCATTAACAAATTATAATATACGTTAACTTGAATAGAAAAAATTGTATAATTTTAAAATATTGTATATATATATATATGTATATATATATTAAAATTATTAAATTTTCAGTGCAAGAGATTAAAATCACAAAATTATAATATTTGAGGAACTAAAATTATTCAATTAAAAATTAAAGGACCAATATCTACAATTGTAATCCATTAGAGACTAAAATTATCTAATTAAAATCTTAGGGTCAAAATTGTATAATTGCAATACTTTATAGATCAAAAACGCAATCAAGCTTATTATTTTATACAAATCAAGTAACATAATAATTTTTTTTTTCACTTTTAATAGAATGATTTCAATATTTTCTATTATACCTTACTTTTTTTTTTCTTTGTTCAGTTCTTTTCTATAATTTAAGTATGAATAATGTTATACATTTACGCAGGTTAGCAGATATATTAAACAAATGCAACTAAATATTTCATATTTCGATCTTATATTATTATTATTATAATGGAAATTCACAGATTTAATTTTTGTAATATATGAATATATTTTTATTGTGATTTTTTTACCAATTTAATTTTATTATTAATTTTTATGTAGAAATAAAACTCATGCTTATCCCATGAATTCATTTTAAAAAAAAAAAACTAGTTAAAGAAATCAAGAAAGGCATGCGAAATATTTATAGAAGAAAAAAAGAGTGAGAGATAATCAAAAACTAAAGATAAAATATAAGGCATATAATTAAGGAGGAAAGAGGTTAAATAAATACGAGAAACAATTTCATTTTTTAAAATTTCATAATTAATTAGATGAAAAAAGTATACGGATAGTAGATAAAGTTACACAGGATATATAAACAAACCCATAATAATAATATAATGAAAAGAATGCAAATAACCTTGATGCATAATTTGTGCACTTTTAACAAACATGATCATATAATTCTAGTAATCATTTCTATATTTTCTTCTCATAATATGATTGTAATTAAAACATATATTTTTAAGATAATCCGAAATTCTTATAACCCTCATCATATTAGTATCTACATGGATTCATCATTCACATATGTAGTTTACATTAACTTTATTGTAAAGCCCCAAAACAAATTAAGGAGAAATATTCAAACGTGAAGCCAAATGAGCGAGGAATATTTCAAATGATTAAAAAAAAAAATGAATGAAAATCAAAATTAATATTTATCCTAAACTGTTCATCTTATTTACCAATCATACCCCTGAAAGCCAACGAAACATTTCGCTGATCTCTTCGCCGATTCGGTTCCCTTCCAAGTCATACTCGGCAGCGACCGGAACGACGTCGCTTCGGCGACTACTCCCCGCGCCACTGAAGAACCTTCCAGAGCTTCGAAACGACGCCGTTCGCGACGAAATAGAAGCGGAAAACCTATCCATGTAATCCTTAAGCCAGCTTCTAACGCCGGCGACCTCGCCAGCGAGAGTTGCTTCGTTTTGACTCTCCGCCGCCGCCGGAAACTCCTTCGCGTCATCCACGCTCCTCCGCCGAGCGTGGCTGAACGGAACCTCCGATTCGTCGTCGACTAAATACTCGAACGATCCAATGGAATAGGACCGCGACCGGGAACTGCCGCGAGTGGCGGCGGCGCCTTCGGTTCCGCGGCGGCTAATGTTGCCTATCTCGAGGCGGAAGCTGTCGCTGCTTCCCGCGGTGGAGGACGGCTGGCGGAGGATTTTCGCGAGGTCCGAATCGGCGGCGACGATGGCGGAGCGGCAGAGCGGACACGTGAGGTTGTTCTGGAGCCACGTGTCGATGCACTGCGCGTGGAAGGCGTGGCAGCAGAGAGGGAGGAGGCGGAGGAGGTCGTGGTTGTGGAACTTGGACAGGCACACGGCGCAGTCGGCGGCGACGGCGGCGGAGGAGCGGCGCGTGATGGAGGAGAACGTGAAGAGCGGGAGCGAGTCGATGACGGAGGCGGAGGAGTGCGGGACTTCGGGCGAGATGCGGCGGCTGGCGGCGAATACGGGCGTGGCGGCGGCGGATGGCGCGGCGGAGGAGGAGGAGAAGCGCTGGAGGCAGCGGCGGCTGAGGTAGCGGAGGAGGAAGCAGAGCGAGAGGGAGACGATGACGGTGACGGCGAGCACCGTTACGATGATGAGAATGCTTGGACTTAGGTTCTGTAACGGAGAGGAACGGCGCGGTGACGGAGGCGTTAACGAACTGGAAACGGTTGGGAAGGTGTCTGATCCGACGACGTTTAGCGTTAAGGGTGGCGGAGAAGCCATTGGTTAGAGAGAGAGAGAGAAACAAAAAGGGTGAAAATGGCGCTTTAGATAGTGTGAAGTGTATGTGTGTGTGCATGAAAACGCATTAGTGTTGTTGTTAATGTTGGGTGGGTGGGGCACGTGAGAGGCACGTGGGAGGGTGTGAAAATGAATGGGGTTGGGGAAAGGGAATGAAGGGAAGTAAATGCGTTCAGGGTTTTGGACTATAAAACTATACACTACTCTCTCTGCCTCTGTTATTATGGTGTTTACATTTACTACTTATACTGCACGACATGCCTGCCAACCTTCTACAATACTTCTTTATTACACTAAATATGTTTGGTTCCCACCCTTTTTCTTATCCTCACACACCACATTTTCTCTTTTTATCATTTTTTTTATATTCAATCTGGCTTGTGTTTATTGGAATTGATTAATTTTTCTTTTTAAACAATTACTCCCTCCATTTTTAATTCATAGTCATTTAAAATATTGCAAGGGACTTAAAAAAAAATTAATATTTTAGTTTTTAAAAATATTTATTACTTACTTTTTTATTTTATCCTCTATTTATTTCTAGTATTTCATTGAAAATATATTACCATTTTAAATGCAACATTAATTTTACATAAGTTGTTGGAGAAAAGATAAGTAGACATTAAAAATAAATAGACATTGTACAGTAAATATACATTAATTATCAAGGATAAAAATGAAAAAAAAATATTAATAAGTCATTGAATTTAGTAAAATGATAATGAAAATAAAAATAAATTCTGACAAATCGACTATGAATAAAAAAATGAAGGGAATAATTAACATTTTTTTCATAAAATAATATATATTTGTGAAATATAATTTCTCTTAATTAAATATTATTTTAATGTAGATGAAAATTGACTTTTTTATATTTTATAAATTGTAATTTAGGTAATATCTTTGGATAACACCTAAAAACTTATTTGATGCCTAAAAAACAATAGATAAAGTAGATAAAAATATTGGCACGATAAACAATATCATGTGATGAGAAGGGATAAAAACAAATGCAGGATATTAATAAGGTGTTTAGAAAAGAAAAAAAAATGCTACAATCAAAAGTATATATTTTTAAGTTTCTACAGAAAGTATAATTTTTTTCATTAAAAAAAGTGTTGTCGTACAATTTTGTTTTTGGTATCATAATTTTCAATGAATTTTTTATATAACTTTTATTCAATATCGTAAAGATCGATATGGGGTAGTAAGATTCTAAAAACAAATTATGAAAAAAATATTAATAATGGTTAAAATGGTATTGAATTTGATTTTTTTAGTAAAATCTCGGTTCATTAAAGTTAGTTAATCAAATACTTAGACACCTATTAAACTTTAACAAGCTGATAGCATAGTTAAAACATAGTATGAAATTAAATGTGGTTGTTGGAAAAGTAAAGTCAAACAGTTTTTATATTATCTGTAAATCTTTATTCTTGCCTTCTTGGTGGCATTTTTCTTTTTTAATTTATTTACAAGATTACTCGAACATGAAAAGTAATTTAGCAGGAATTACGTGTGTATTTCTTGAACAAAATATTTTTCAATATATAAGAAGAATTTTAATTACAAATAATCTCTGTTATAAAATACATTAGTTTTTTTTTTTATTTACATTTTTCTGCTGAGGCGTTGATTTTGGAATTAGCTATATATTTTCCACTTTATTTCGTAAAAATCGTTATTTGATCATCTTTATTGTCATTTTTCGACACCCAAAGAATACTGTAAAAATATAATTCATATATATATAGAGAGAGAGGGGGAAAACATAATTTTGGTCTACATACTTTTTCTTATTTTATCCTATAATCCTATAATCTATTATTTCTGTTATATTGTTTTATTTAAAAAAAAAAAAAAAGACATTTCCCACCAATATGTGATAATTATTGTCATATGCAACGATATAAATATGTTCGAAATACGTTACCTTATTAATACATATTTTCATCCCCTAAAAAATACATATTTTCTATATATAACATTTTTACAATTAATTTCTCATCTTTCATCGCATTGTTTATCTTGTTTCACACTTTTTTTTTTTTCATTTTATATAAATTTTAATTAGATATAAAACATGTTTTCAAAATTATTATACAAATAAACTTTCTCTACATATATTGAAAGGTAAATTGTGCCACAATCTGGCTTCGTTCTTTTTCAAACTTATACATCACTTTTCTTAGAAAAAGAATCATATGGTTTGTACGTAAACAAGATTTAATAACTGATATAGACAATAATCAACGGTATCTTTATTCATAATCGTGGTAATATTTGAGTTTTGCCTAAGCTTATGATAAATTGGATTCAACATATATTTCTATAAAAGAACAAACATTGAATAACCGATTGTTTGGCCTTTTCAAGGGTTGCTGAAATCATACTCGTGGCTTTATCTCTCCATATATTTACCATAATAATCAATATAAGTACCAAAAATTAAAACAATTCGTTAATTAGTCTTATATATATCTCTAATATCGTTCGAGTTTTCCCAAAGTTCAACATGGAGTGAAAGTGGCACATCAAATTACTATAAGATACATTAAGTAAGAAACTTTGACTCATTTAACCTTGTAATATCCAAAAACAAAAGTTATGGCTGTATTGGGACACCATATAGATTCAAAGGTAATAAAGAAAACGAAAATAGCTTTTTACGAATACCCTTAATTAATCAACAAGGGAGGAATTTTCTTTGTAGAATGAAAAGTCAAATAGGATTGAGAAAAGCTCAAGTTAACATCATGGCCAAGAGTGGAATAATAACCACAAGATGATCCCAATCATTATATATGTTTCCCATAACAGATAAGTACTTAAAATAAAATCCATAACTTGGTGCATGAAGTATCCTTGTTCAACCCATATAAATTAATATATGCTAGGCAACATATAAAGTATTATATGATTAAAGAGAATGATACAGGTGTTTGGCAACGTGCAAACCCAAGAAACAAGGCAACTGATACATTCCATAATACTTGTATAATGCAACCATAACTTCTCATTATCTCAATTTTTAATACGAGGATGCTTGGATTTTATATGTTCCTAGGAATATAATATTCACGTTCTCTTCTGCTCTACATCATGAGCGCGTGCATCATTCTCTCATTATTCGCTTTCACTGCAATCTCGGCATGCTCTATAAAACAAAGTGTTTTTCTCTCTTTTAAAGAACAATTTTGTTCCCATATAAACTGCATGCAGCCACACCAATAACATGCTACCAACATTTTAATTTGCAGACATTAATTAATGCAATCGCTTCTTAATTGTTAAGTGTTATAAGGTGGTATGAAATGTGGATAGAGGAATATAGGTTAAGAGTAATAAAGAGAGTGAGTTTGAATCTCTCATATTAACACAACTCACAAATTTACTAATATTTATTTTTATAAAAAAATATGTTAATCACTTTATATAGCTGCAATTGGTCACTAATATTTGTCGTTAAAACAAAAAACTGTTAACCACGTTATATAGCTGCAATTGGGTGCATCTATGCTATGAGCTACAACTAGCACTGTTGCTACATATTGTAGTAATAAGAAGTAATAATAAGGAGGGGAATAGTAATAAGAAGACACCAAAAAAGGTAATAAAAGATAATACTAAGTTGTACACTAGTACTATATTGAATTGACCAAATGATTTGAATATGGAAGTAAAATTAGAAAATAAATTTAAAGAAAAATACTAGAAAAAGAAAAGACGAAGGCAACTGGGAAGAAAAATTATCGAATAATAATGCTTTATTAATTTCAGAGAATAAATATAAAAAAAATAAAGATGCATTTAATTAAGATTATTTTCACCATTTGCCAGGATAAATGGATAATTAAGGATCCATTAAAGATTATTAATTTTTACCATTTGGCAGAGATAAATGGATTATTAAGGACTAATTTTTTGTAAAATTAGGTAGAATTGATTATAATATAATTAAATTTAAAGTTGAACAGGGTTGATTAAAATTTGTGTCTAAAACCACATATTTTACATGGTAATAATGAAATATGCA